CATGTCACAAAAATGCCCACTGGCCCTGCCCTCTGGGGGACCCTCACCTCTGGGCAGGAAAGGGAGGGCACCTCCCACTAGCTGTTCTGTGCCAGGGTCATCTGGGCATAGAGCAGGCTGAGAGCCCCCATTTCCGGGCAGCCTCGCTCTCGCACCCCCAAAGGGCTCCTGAGGGAGCTCAACTTTAAGGCCTCACAGCCAAGCAACCGCTGAAGTCAGACATAAGTAGGGGAGTGGGGGGAGCTCCAGGGAAGGTGGGGCCCAGGGAGCCCTCCAGGCCCCTGGGATCCACAGGCTTTGGGGCCCACCCTCACCCCCTGTCCTGACTCTGCTACAGACCACAGCGGGCACGGACCGTGGGCACTAATTCTTCCTTTCCCAAGGACCTTCGGGAAGAGAAGTCAAGGGCCTAGCAGGAAGCTCCAGGGCTCCCGGGCTGTGAGAACGCCAGGTGACAGGGGGAGTTGGGCTCCCCAGATCTGCCGAACAGCCCGACCAAGAGGACTGGCAGGGCAGCCGCTTCATGTAGAGCAGGATGCAGAGGGTCAGGGTCAGCAGGGGATAGGCAGGGCCCGCGCCCCCGATTCTAAGACTTTCTGTGCCACCCCAGGAACTGCGAGGAGGCCCAGGCCGTGGGGTCTCGCCAGGTGCGGGTGCTCTCCGCCCTGGTCCCCCCGCGCCAAGCAGGCCCCAGGGGTGCGTGTCGGGCCCCCGGGAGGTCGGGCAAAGCCACGCACCGGTGCCGCTGAGCCTGGGGCCAGCCCGGAGCGCCCGCACCGCAGGGACCGTCTCCGCTCCGCTCACGGAGCTCGGTGGCTGAAAAGTGAGGGGTAGGGGCAGAGGAGGGATCCGATGCGGCTCCAGAGAGACGCGGAGGACCCGCCGGCCGGGCCCGTCCCCCGAGTCCCCACGGGGAAGGGCGCGGGGCGGGAGTGGCCCGGGCCTCGCCGGATGGACAGACGGACGGGGCCCAGGCCCCGGGAACCCTCCGCGGAGCCGCAGCCGCCGCAGGTGCCCAGGCCCAAGAGCGGCAGGCCAGGGTGAAGCGGAGCTGACGGCGAAACGCCCCCCTGCCCCGCGCGACGTTCCCCGCAGCCCCGTCCCCCGAGCTCGGTACCTGCACGTCCGCCGCCGAGGCTCGATGGCGCCCGGGCCGCGCTCCGCGCTGCGCTCTGGCCCGCGCTGCTGCCATGGAGACGGGGCCTTTGTGTGGCCAAGGAGGGGCCGGAGCGCGCGGGAGCTGCCTGCCCCGCCCCCGACGAGCTTGTCGAGGGGAGGGAGGGGAGAACGGGAGAAGCGGGGGAGGGAGGAGGAGGGAGAGGGGGAGAGGGAGGGGGAGAGGGAGGGGAGAGGGAGGGGGAGAGGGAGGGGAGGGTAGGAGACGGGAAGTGAGGGAGAAAGGGACAGCAGGGGAGGGAAAGGGTGGACGGGAGGGGAGGGCAGGGGAGGGGAGGGGCGGGCCTGCACTCCCCGCGCGCCCCCCATCTCCCTGGCACAGTGGCTACAGCGTGGTTGGGTAGGTTCGGCCACCCCAGACCCAGTTTCGGCCACTCGAGACCCAGGTTCCGCCAGGGCAGCGCGCTGCCCAACACACCGCTGTCTCGCTGTCTCGGAAGTGGCCTCGGCCTGAGTCCCCGCCACGCTCCCACCCCCCCACCCGCAAGGAGCCCTCCAGGCCTGAGGGGAGCCCAGGGCTTGGCGCTAGGGGAGGACATTTTGGGAGTGCTCCTGCCCGGCTAGAGGAACGTCTCTGAGGGTGCCTGCCAGTTGAGATAGGCAGGCACCATACCTTCGCCCGAAGACTGGGAGCAGCCCAGCCACTTCCCTGCAGCTTTCACGGGTGGGGGCTTCCAGAGGTGGGGGCTGCTGGACCTTGGCCCTTTCCCAGGGGTCTCAGCCCCTCAACTTTCCCGGGGGAAACCATTCCCAGGGGTTTCAGCCCAACCTTCCCAGGGAAGCCGGGCACCTGGAGACACCTCCCAGCACATCCTTGGCCCCCAGCACCACCTTGCTAGGCTGTACCTGGGACCTCACACTGGTCCTTCAGGGCATGGAGGTGGGTGGACTTAGACCTCCTTCTGGGGGTTCTGGTTTCTGGGACAGAGCTGCCCCATTTCTGGCATCCTAGGCCCCAAGTCCTGGTCCCAATGCTCCTGGGGTTCCCTGGACTTGGGAAGAGATGGAGAACCCTCTGCAGGATCATTCCTTGGAGGGTGCCCCCCCTGCTCTCCCAGGACTGGACATGCTGAGCAGGAGACAGAGGCATTCCCCAAGCCCTCAGCCTCGCCGCATCCTGGGGCGCCCCTCCCTGGGGCCCGCCTTCCACCCAGACCTGCCAGTCCTTGTAACCGCTGTCCTTGTCATTGGCTTCATCCTGTCCCTGATCCAGGCATCCCCTCCTCCGCTTCCCCAACCCGACCTGGGATCTGCCCTGCCACATCCTGACAAACTCCTCCCGTCTGAGATCTTTCAGTCTCTGCCTCCTCCCACCCTCCAGCAGCCAGGCCTGGTTCCTGCCCACTTCTTCCCTTGGGCCTTGAACCACAATCCACATCTCAGCCACCACCACCCTCGCTGAAGAGGACCCCAAAATTACCAGGGTCTGACAAGGCTGCCAACTTTTTATCAAAAAAAAGAAGTTAAAAGACAAGCACTGTGTCACAAAAGGACATTTTAATAGCCAAACCGTGGGAAGGCCACTATTCTAGACTAAAAGGGAGTCTTTAAATAGCCGACAGGAAGCTTGAGGGTGAGCAGCTGTCCTTCCTGTCCCTGTGCAGGCCATGTGCACCCTCAGCCCCCAGGCCCACTCCAGCCTGCTCCCAGCCCTCTCCACTCTCTAAACCCTGTGGTCCCCGTCCTTCAGGAGGCCTCAGTGACCACAGCAGTCCTCATACTGGCCAGCTAAGTTCTGCCCAGCAAAGGCCCTCTTGCCTGCGGGGGCTGGCACTCTGGCCAGGGACAGAGCAGTCTGGACCTTCCTGAGTCTTCACTGCATATCTCAGGCCACATTCCATCCTGAGGCTCTTCTGCACAGGCAGGGACAGGCCCTGAGGAAGAGGGGCTGGGATAGTACCCTCCACCTCAGCCTTGGTTTCTGCCCAGTGCAATGCCCGGTGCCCACCAAACCTTCCTCCCTGCTATGTGGCCTCACCAGAGCCCTCCAGGGAAATGTGGTTGTGCATTTCTGGAGAGACAGTGGCCAGGGTCCCTGAGGGCTTCTGAGACCAGCCTGAAGTCCCTCCCCTGCAGCCCTCAGAAAGCCAAAGCAGATGAGACTGTGGTATGGGGAAGCGCAGGCTGCCTGGTACATGGGGTGCACTCCCCAAATCGGGTCACAGTTGAGAGAAGGGTGGGTCCTCTTCCCAAGCTGCCCTGACACCTTGATGTGATGGTCCTCAGGGGGCTGGAATGAGCATGGGGCTTCTGCAGAGGACCCTGATGGAGGGCAGTTGATAGCAGGGCCTGCACTGTCCCCCGGCCCCATCTTACAGTCAGCATTCCAGCTGGCCACACAGGAAGTGCCAGCATCTCTGCAGACCAAGCCTTCAGCAGGGAGGCCGCCCCCATGCCACAGTCAGGGCAGGCCAAGCTGTATCTGGGGCCAGGATCTTTCTTACCCTTGGGCCCCAGCTTGCCAGTGCCACAGAACGGATTTGCCACCTCAGCCTCTATGTGCTCTGTTTAACGTGGCCACATCCTGGGACCCTGCACCAGACATCTGGGCTGAACAGTCCCCTCGTCACCCTCGCCGGTGCCTGTGTCCTTGTCTGTAGAATGGGGACCGGGACAGGCTGTCCTGGGCTGTAGTCAGGCTGGACAAGTCGACATGAACCAAGTTCTGACAACCACCTGGCACCTGACACCTGACCCCGGAGTCCTTGTGGCTCGGTCACACCCTGCACTGAAGTGGCCAACAAGTGCGCGCCTGTCCACCGCCTCACTGGAGGCTGTGGTCTGAGAGCACCAATGAGCACGCACACAGTGTCACACTGAATGGGGGCCTCAGAAGAAAATGAAAAGTCCCTGCCCTAGCCCTGTGTTCCTCGGCCGGCACCTGCCTGGCCTTGCAGGGCACGAGGCCCAGTCTCCACTGGTGGGGTGGGCCCTCCCAGCACCGTCGGGCATATGCATGGTTCTCTGGATCTCTCAGATGAGAAGTGAGGGTCTGAGTGGTCAGGGGACCTATCTCCAGGCACACAGTGTGTGATGCTGAGTGGCGCTTGGCAGTCCGGAGCCCTGACAGTGCTGTCAGCACCCGTACATCACAGGGCTCAGTGCCTGCAGGTGTCACATGGGGTTGCACATGACCCAGAGGTGGCTCTTGGGACCCTTGCCCTTATAAAGGAAAGGGAGACATGCAGCCCCAGCCAGAGGCAGGGTCAGGCCAGAGTCCAGCGCCCCCTGGCTGCATGTGGGGATGGACGGACACACACAGACAACAGAGGCCCTGTCCCCCTCTCAGGTGGGAGCACAAAGCTGGAGCCTGGTGGGGGCTCCAGGACTGGGAGCCAGGAAGGTGCTGACCCTCTGAGGGCCAGGCTGAGCCAGCCTCCTAGCAGAGGCACTGGGTCGCACATGGCCCCCTGCCCACCCCTACCTCCAAACAAACCACAGCCCCAGGCAGGCGGGGGCCCAGAGGGGCACTAGGGGTGGGCAGAACTCTTCACACTGCAGAGCTGTCTCTCCCCTTCTTGAGTTGGTGACTGTGTGCAAAGTACCCTCCCATCCCCAGACAAGACAGGCGGGTGTCTGCGTTGGGAGAGGGTCCCTCCTGTCCTGGGCAGCCTGCCGGGCTGAAGGAAGCACCACACACATCGCAGGGGGTTTGGGGGCCAACAGATGGGCACCGGGAGGGGCAGACGGTAGACACACCCACATCAGTGAGGGCTCCCAGCCTGTCCCCACCCCCGGCCCAGTCTGCAGTCTGCAGAGGCCAGGTGGGGCCCAGGAGGAGGCAAGGCTCAGCTTGCACATAATCCCTATGGTCAGGGCCATGCTGTGGTTCCAAATGTCGCCTTTACTGCTGAGACAATGGTGGTACAGGAAGGGGAGACTGCAGTCTGGGCGGGGGGCCAAGGAAGGGGAGCGCGTGCTTGGCCCAGTGCCGTGGCCACTGGGGAGAGGGAGGCTCAGGCAGACCTAGGCTCCCGGGACCATGGCCCTTGGCTCTGTCCTAGGGAGGGCACAGGACAGCCTGCAGGTCCTTGGGCAGGGAGCTGATGACTGTCTCGATGTACAGCTGGGCCCGCTGCAGCGTTGCCTCCTTCACAGGGAGCTGGTGGCCCTGAGCCCGCACCTGCGGGGCAGCAGTGGTCAGGGCAGGCACAGCTCCATACCGGGCCAGTGGCACTGGGACAAGGCTGGGGAGGCATCTTACCAGCTTCTCACGAAGTTTCAGGACCAGGTCCACGACCTCCACCTCAGACTTGTCCTTCATCCAGGTCTCAATGTTCTACATAGTAAGATGGGGTCTGCTGTCAGCAAAGCCCTAGCATGCCCTGGGCCTGTGCCCACCCCACCATGCTCTGCACCCCCAACCCCCAGCCTCCCTCACCGCCTCACAAATAGCCTCAAGGTGCAGGGCCTCCAGCTTCAGGGCCATCTCCTTGTGCCGCTGCCGGTACCAGCCATCAAAATGGGGGGACTTGAAAAACCGCCTGTAGGGAGTGACAGGCAGGGGCCATGGGATGACCCTGTGGACCAAAGGGGGCACAGGCCACCTGCACCCACCGTCCACCCACCTGTAGAGACCCAGCCAGTCGCCCTTGAGGATGCAGGTGAGCTGGGGCCCGGCATGCTCCAGGCTCCGCAGGAAGTCATCCTGGCTGAAGGGGCGGATCTGGGGGGGAGTCTGAGAGGGGTGGGGGCCAGCACGTGGGAACTCACAGGCCTACACCTGACACGCTTCATAGACACACTCCTCACCACACCTGAAGACCCTCAGCCCCCACCCTGCCTGGCACAGATCCCGGAGAGCCCTTCCCAGAACAGGCCCCGAGCCCCTCCAAGGGTCCTGTCTGCCCCCTGCCCTGCGGCCCCAGTTTCACAAACATGACGGCCTTGAGCCTTATGGCTCCTGCACAGCCACGGCCTCTGCCCCGTTTGCTCCAGACCTTCCCTCCTGCAGGTGAGGATGGAACCCATACTCCCTGGACCCCCCAGGACCCCCACCTTCCAGGGCGTGATGCTCTTCTGCAGGGGCATGAGGCTGGCCATGTAGTGCTCCTGGGTGGGGAAGAGAGGGGAGTGAGCCTAGGGACCCATACACCCCAGCCCCGTGCCCCCCCAGTTCCATGCCCCCCAGCCCGGTGCCCCCCAGGCCCGTGTTCCCCCAGCCCCGTGCCCCCCCAGTTCCATGCCCCCCAGGCCCGTGCTCCCCCAGCCCTCTGCCCCCCAGCCCCGTGCCCCCTAGGTCCATGTCCCCCAGCCCTGTATCCCCCAGGCCCGTGCCCCCCAGGCCCGTGCCCCCCCAGTTACATGCCCCGCAGCCTCGTGCCCCCTAGCCCCGTGCCCTCCAGGCCTGTGCCCCCCAGCCCCGTGCTCCCCAGTTCCATGGCCCCAGCCCTGTGCCCCCCAGACCCGTGCTCCCCCAGCCTTGTGCCCCCCAGCCCCATGACTCCCAGGCCCATGACCCCAGCCCTGTGCCCCCATTCCATGCCCCCCAGCCCTGTGCCTCACCAAGGGGATGATGAAGCTCTGTGTGAGCTCGAGGAGGTGCCTCCGCAGCAGGGCGCTCTGCACATCTGATGGCCGCTTCTTCTGCACGCCCTGCAAGGAGGAAGGGGCGAGGCCCTTGCTGTGCCTCACACACCAGGCTCCCTGCATCCCCAGCCCCCACCCCACCAGCCCATACCTTGAGCAGCCGTTTGAGCAGTGCCTTGTCGCGGTGGAGGTGGGCTGTGTAAGCAGTGTAGAGGCCTGGCGGGAGGGCACAGCTGGCACCCTGCCCTTTGAGGGGCTCCCTCCCACACTCCTGCAGCCCCACAGAGAAGCCAGGGTTGAGTCTCATCTGCCTGCAGCCCCACTGCGTTGGCTGCACCTGAAAACCTCACCCAACCACCCCAGATAGAGACCCACTGAAGAAGAGAGTGCCCCCCTCCCCCTGAGGATTCTGAGCTCTGCAGCTGAGTCCTAGAAGAGGAGCAAGGGTCTGGAGACCTGGCAGATACAAGACAGGTCCCTCCACAGTGGAGGGGCTGCAGGTCCAGGGGGGGCACAAACCTGGCTTGGTGTCAAGGGTCTTCAACCTTGAAGGCTTTTTCAGCTTGACTTGCTTAGGCAGGTCTCCTATGAGACACACCAGTGGCCAGGCCTCAGTGCCCACAGCTCTGGCCATCCCCACAGGCTCTGAGGCGGTCCCACACTCAATGAGGCTTCTCAGCACCACTCCCTGCACCTCCCCAGGAGCCTTACCTGACATCTTGGGCTCCCCGACTCGGAGGATGTGGGGCCAGTGCTGGAGTGTTTTGATAAAGAAAGGGTTTGTAACTCCCAGGACCACGTTTGGTCTAGACAGAGAGAGAGAGAGAGAGAAGAGGCAGAGAAAGAGGCCCAAGGAGGTGGAGTGAGGGCGAGAGCAGCGGGGTGGAGGCGGCACTTACGGGGCCTGTGTGCGTGTGGTAAACTCCTTGAACTCACTGTCATGGATGGTGAAGTAAGGACGGAAGTCGCAGCAGAACCTCAGGGGCTGCAGGCAGCTGTGGGCAGGGGCAGCAGGAGCAGGTGAGGCAGGGGTGGCCCAGGCACAGCCAAGATGGTCTAGCGCCCCCAGCCGGGACCGAGGCAAGGTGGTACCTGGTCAGGGCCAGCACCATTTCCGAGGACACGTCGGGCGAGGGTGCCAGGACCAGCAGGGGCTCCCCAAGGAGCATGAGCTCCCACAGTGTCTGCACGTGAGTCAGCACAGGCCGGAAGCACCTGGCGCCGGGCAGGATGATCCGGGAGGTCAGGCAGGGCTGAGACTCCTGGCCCTGATCCCACTCTCCCACCCATTCGCCCAGGCTGGTGAACACGGCACACTGCCTCAGGGTGAAGACAGATTTCTGAAGATGTGAGAGTATCTTGGGTTGCCATGGCTACCCCAAACTCTGATAGTTTACCTGTGTTGGGCCTGGCCCCAGGTATGTGGGACTCAACCTGGACCCACCTATGAGGGACCAGCAGTCCTGAAATGGCCCCAGGGCTGCTGACCTGGGCTGGGGAGCATACCTGCCCAGACCCCTACAGTCACCCTGTGCCCACTCCAAGTGCAGCCCTGACTCCTACTGGGCCGAGCACAGAGCAGGATGGTCTCAAGGCCCAGGCCCCCTTGCAGACTCGCCCAGAGGCAGAGAGGGTGGCCTCAGGCACTGAATCTCTCCTGACAGCCTCTCCTTGACATCTGTCTTTTGGAAGCTCCTGCCCACTGTGCCCATTTCCGCTGGCTGCAGACATGTGGGCACTTGCTTCCTCTTCTGCACAATTCTCCTTTCTTCCTTGCGGAACTGCCCCAAGGGTTACTCCGGATGAGCACTGCCTCCCTTGGGCAGTCCCCACATGGCACTGGCCATACACGCACATGCACACATGTATGCACACATGCACTCACATGAACATGCACACGAGTTCACACATGTGCACCCACACATGCATGCACTCATATGCACACACATACACACATGCACTAACAAATATGCATTTGTGCACACATGCACACATACATGCACTCATACACATGCATATGCAGACACTCATGCACACAGGTATACTCACACATACACATGTACACACACTCGTGCATACATGAGCTTATGCACACATGCACGCACTCAGGCACACATGCACACGCACATACTCAAGCACACACATGCACTCATGCACATACACATGCACTAATGCACAAACATGCACTCATTGCACACTCGTGTGCACTCACACTCATGCACACACATGCACTCACAAACATGCATTTGCACCACACACATGCATATGCAGGCACTCGTGCACACAGGTATACTCACGCATACACATGCACACACACACATGCATACATGCACTCACGCACACACGCACACTCAGGCACACACATGCACTCGCACACATACATAGGCACTCACGCACACTTGTGCGCACACATGCGATCACACACACATGCACTCACACACACTCATGCACACACACATACACACACGTGCACACACACATGTGCATGCACACACAGCTGAGCTCCCCCAAAGCAGTGTGTAGCACCCTAGGGGGCTCACCTGAACAGGTCCAGCTCATGGACACTAGCAAGAACCATTGGGGCTGGCAGCAGGTTCTGAGAAGAGGAGAGGGTAGGTCAGGGCCAAGGGAAGGCTGGCACCCCTTGGGCCCCAAGCAGCCCCTGCCTCACAGCACAGGGGAGTATGGGGAGCGCCCAGCCCTACACCAAGACACAGCCTATGGCTTTGCTTGGGTTTCACAACCCCACAGGATGGACCAGGGAGGCAGGTGTGACCATCCAGCCCAGGAGCAGGACTCAGTTGGGTGAAGCCCAGCTCTCTCGGCTCAGCCCCCGCCACAGCTCCCACCTCTTGGTCACACTGCTTCGGAGGACTGGACTCAGGCTTGTCCATCCTGGATGGGATGTGCACCTGGGGAAGGAGGGAGCAGCTGCCAGAGGGAGCAGGGCATCCCCATGCACTGGCAGAGTCTGCTCCCCAGCCAGCTGGCTCTCACCTGGACAACAACACCCATGACAGGTAGGTTCAGGGTCTGCCCAGGCACAGGCACCGGCCACTGGTCGATCTCACTGCACACTGTGGATACATAGTAGCTAGCGTCAGGACCCTCCCCAAGGAGAGGCTGCTGCTGGCCCCCCCAGGGGCCACAGCTGGGATGATGAGACTGCAATGGGCACTCCTGATGGCCACTCACCTGCTTCCAGGCAGGGTGCCAGCTTGTCAAAGTACTCGGGGGCAATCAGGCTTAGCAGCGCCTGGAACAGCCGGACAAAGGGTAGGCGGGACACCAGCACCAAAGACTGTGGGGTCACAGGGCTAGTCAGAGGCCCCCAGCACCAGGCCTCATCCCAGCCACTCAGGAGCCCACAGAGACCCCTGAAGCCAAGCTTACCTGGAGCTGGCCCCTACCAACTCCACAGGACAGCTGCCCCGAACAGCCTCAGACCCCAGATTATTAGGAGAAAACCCAACACCGAACTCCCTGGGTGGCAGCCAGGGGGGCTGGACCCTAGGGTCTTCGGGGGGAAATGCATAGTACCCAGGATTTCTGAAATGATCTCCCTGGGGCTCAGCAGCTTTCACTGTTGGCATATGGCTTCCAGGCTGGGCTGTCCTAACCCTGACAGTGTGATGACCCACCAGCCAGCAGGGAGGGGCAGGAACACCTTGGACCAGGACAGAAAGGCCTTGGGTGCCACCGGGCTAGGACAGGGCAGGGGGGCCACAAGGAGCTGGACACAGCTCAGGAGGCACTGCAGGAGTGGGCACTGCTGGAGGCTCAGGACCCCTTGCCTGCCCCCCCAGTCCCTCCTGCTGCCTGCCAGCTCCTGCCTCTCCAAGACACCAGCCCAGTAGCCCAGCAACTCACCTTCTGGAAGTAGCCCCTCTTCACAGAGCTGTCCTTCACCTGCCTGAAGTACACATAGCCAAAGTAGTGTGCTGGCTCCCTCTGGAAGGAGCAAGGTTTTAGCCAGGCCATGCCCCACCCAGACCACCCGGCCCAAGGCTGTGAGTGGCAAGAAACAGGCAGTAACTGTGGCAGATGGGAGCCTGGAGAACCAGGAGGCTCCTAGAGCTGCTGTCACTGTCCTCTGGCCACCAAGGCAGAAGCAGGCTGGGAGGTCCAGGGCTCAGGTGCGTAATACCCCTGCTGATACAGCAGGGAATCAGCTGGCGTAGTGGGGAGGAGCTTCGGGGGCTGGGAGCTCTGGGAGACCAGCGTGGGCCCCTGTTCAACTATGCAGATGCCCAGCCACGGATGTGTGGTGCCAAGGAAAAGCCCCAAGGACCCTGGAGAGACCCCGGAAGAGCTGGCCCATCCTCAGTTGGGGCTGGTGCCTGGGACTGCAGGACCAGTGGGGCCTGGCCAACTCCTCTCCTGCCACACAGGGTCCAGGCGCTCTAAAGGAGTTTCTCACACCAGCCTGACCCTGGCAGGGCCCATGGGGAGCAGGGGAGGAGAAGCAGGTCAGAGAAGCAGCCCAGTGCTCACCTGCAGCGCCACCGGGGCCCTGCTGTGGTAGTGCCTGTCGTTGGCATACCAGGGGCTCCTCTGCCCTCCACACTGGCGCATGCGGAAGCTGAACTGAGTGTCTCCAAGGCAGCCTGAAAAGGGGCAGCCCCACCATGCAAGTCAGGGCCAGGAACCTCCCCTGCAGGCCCTGGAGCTGGGGACCGGGGACAAGGGCCCTGCGAGCCTGGACTCTGCTGGTAAAAATGCCTGTTTCCCAACAGGCTCCTATTCTGCACCTGCATGCCCTGCACCTAGGGTCTTAGAATATATTCACACAAGGGCTGAGTATGGTAGCTCACGCCTGTAATCCCAGCCCTTTGGGAGGCCAAGGCGGGCAGATCACAAGGTCAAGAGATTGAGACCATCCTGGCCAAAATGGTGAAACTCTGTCTCTACTAAATACACAAAAAAATTAGCCAGGCGTGGTGGAGGGAGCCTGTAGACCCAGCTACTCAGAAGGCTGAAGCAGGAATATCATGTGAACCCAGGAGGCGGAGGCTGCAGTGAGCTGAATGTACCACTGCACTCCAGCCTGGCAACAGAGTGAGATTCCATCTCAAAAAAAAAAGAATATATTTGCACAGAGAAGCGTCTTCAACTTCTCTGGGAGATTGGCTCGACCTGCTTGAGACAGAAAACCAGGACATCTGTGCCCCCAGGGTGGGAGCATGAGGGGGCCCTGCTCCTGGTGGCCACTGTGTGGGGTCCCTCTGCCTGGTGGCCACTGACTGCTGGTCCCTCTGCCCAGATACACCCCTTCCACATGTACCTATAGACCTGGCTGCCCTGCTGCAACATGGGGATCTGGGCGCCTATGCTGAGTGGGCATGGGGCGTTCTGTGCACCGCAGGCAGCCTAGGCAGCCATGATGCCCCTGGCCTGGGCTACAGGGACTCCTAGCTGGCTTCATGTCCAGCCCCAGGAAAGGTGGGGTTGCCTACCTGAGTGTGAGTCGGGAAAGGACAGGTAGCAGATGCTGCTTTTCTGAAACATACAAAACCCAGTGAGGGCCAACTCACTCCTGGGTCACGTCCATTCCCAAGAGGGCCAGGACTCACCTCCTTGTCTGTAAGCCGGAAGTCGTTTGGGTACACCAGCTGCAGAGGAAGACAGAGCACTTGGTGATGCCATCTGCTCATGGAGGCGACACCCCTGAAGGCATCCGCTGGGCTGGGACTGTCCCAGCAGCTGCAGCGTCTGTGGGGCACAGGTCAGTGCCCATGGTGCTGGCTCGCCCCAGTTCCCTGCTCCACCAGTGTGCTGCATCCTCCCCGCACCACCTTCTCTGGCTACGATGCCTGGGTCCTTGCTGACTGGATCCTCTCTGTGTCCTCCAGACACCAGGCCCCAGGCCAAGGGCAACTCCCCTCCCAGCTGGAGACTTCTTTACTCCCCAGGACTCTCTCAGTAAGAGGCCAGCACAACTGGGTAGGCTTCCTGAACCCTTTCGCACACCCCTGGTCCTCACAGCCACCTAACCACCTCCTGCCCAGACTGCAGTTGGGCCCCCCTGCCCCCATCAGCCCGACATCTGTTCACAGCCCCATACCTAGCATCATGCTATCCCCAACTGTCCACTCCTGGGGGTGCAGGGCAGAGCCTCTCCCCGGCACAGTGGCTTATGCCTCTAATCCCAACACTTTGGGAGGCTGAGGCAAGCGGATCACTTGAGGTCAGGAGTTTGAGATCAGCCTGGCCAACATGGTGAAACTCTGGCTCTACTAAAAATACAAAAATTAGCCAGGCATGGTGACGCACGCTTGTAATCCCAGCTACTTGGGAGGCTGAGGCAGGATAATTGCTTGAACTCGGGAGGCAGACGTTGCACTGAGCCGAGATGGAGCCACTGCACTCCAACCTGGGCAACAGAGCAAGACTCGGTCTCAAAAAAGAAAAAAAAGGGGCAGTATTTCAGGGACCCAGAGGCCCCCCTCACCCGGGACGGTCACAGGGCCCTACCTGGCTGTCCCCCCATCTCCCTCACCAGCCCTCAAGCCAGAGGGCCCCGGGAGTGCTGCTGCCTTAGCTTTCGCTCAGATACAGGTCCGGCAGTACCCCTGCCCCAGATGGGAGCTTCCTGTCAGGCCCTCTCCCCTTCATCCTGCTCGGCTGTCTTCACCCACCCTCCCCCTGCTAGGACTGTGCCCCACCTGTAGTGCCTGGACAGTGCCGGGCTGTGCAAGCCCTGCACCCCCAGGAGTGGACCATTGGGGTACCTAGCATGATGCTAGGTATGGGGCTGAATGACCTGGAAGATAGGTGTGCACAGGCAGAGGCGGCAGGTGGGGCAGGCGAGCCAGGGAGCCCAGCTCAGTGGGTCCAACTTCATTGTATGGAGCCCCCAGGGGCCCCATTCCCAGTGGGCCCTGCAGTGTCTCCTGAGCTATGTCTGAAGCCTGCTGGGAGGGCCTCTGCACACTGCCCTCCTCATCCCATCTGCCCAACTTCTCCAGAGTTGGGTTTAGGCTGTAATGTGGCTTCTTTCAAGATGTGCCCTGAGCCCCCAGATGATGAGAAGCTGAGCCCTGGGGTGCTCCCAACAATGCCGTGCCCTGGATTAACGCATCTGCCACTGTGTTTTTGAGAGACAGGGTCTCGCTCCACGACCAGGCTGGAGCGCAGTGGCACAATCAGCTCCCTGCAGCCTTGAACTTCTAGGCTTAAGCGATCCTCCCACCTCAGCCTCCTGAAGTGCTGGGAGTGCAGGCGTGAGCTACCACGACCGGCTTGCTATTACAATAGCTCTGCCCTTTCATTTGGCCTCGGCTTGCTGCTGTGGTCCTGCTTTGTCTCTTCCGATGCACAGTAAGTCTCTTTAAGGCAGTGACACCCTGTCCTGGTTCCTTCTGCCTCCTGGCACCTGGCACGAAACAGACCCTCCCCACATAGTGCTGCACATGTGAAGAGGTCTGTGAGGTCTACTAGACAGGTGGGTGGAGGGGAGCTGAACAGGCACCAAGGAGGGGTCAGAAGGAGGAGGACAACGGGGAGGTGGCAGTAGGCTGAACCCACAGGGGCACCTAGGGATAGCTCTGTGAGGGGTAGAGCCACTCGGCCACTCAGGCTGAGCCTTCTTGTATCTGCACTGAGGAGGGCTGAGGAAAGGCAGGTACCCTCTGCCTGAGCTCAGGGCTCTGCATCTGGTCTGCCGGTCACAGGCGCTTATGGTCTCTGAGCTCCATGCCCACGCCCAGGGGCCCCTTAGCACATCCGACCAGGGAAATCACATTCATCCACCCTCTTTGGGAGTGGCCCTGGGGTCCAGGTACAACCTAGAGCTGAATGCTAAGCCAGAGGTCAGCCACCTGGGGTTGGCCAGACCAAGGTGAGGGGACCAATGGAGCTGATGCTCAGGGCAAGGAGGCCTCCCAGGCCAGGCTGTGCCCTGCTCAGTGCTCCATGAGGGTCTTGCCCTTTTCCCCTAAGCCAGCCTGTACAGGTCCCGGCTCCTGGTCACCAGTCACCCTGAGTAAGACCAGGGTGGGAGCTTGGTTTGGAGAAGGTACATGCACGGAGTGGTTCTCAGGTATGGCCTGGCCACCCCTGCGGTCCCCGGGGTCAAAGCTCTTCTCATACACGAGAGTCTCCTTCTCATGTTCACCCTCGTGTACAGTGTAGCTCACAGAAGCCACAGCATGTCCTGTCCTGGTGGGCTGAATGCAGCGCTGATGAGAATCCAGCTGTTTTTTTTGTTTGTTTTTGAGACGGAGTTTCGCTCTTGTTACCCAGGCTGGAGTGCAATGGCACGATCTCGGCTCACCGCAACCTCCGCCTCCTGGGTTCAGGCAATTCTCCTGCCTCAGCCTCCTGAGTAGCTGGGACTACAGGCACGCGCCACCATGCCCAGCTAATTTTTTGTATTTTTAGTAGAGACGGGGTTTCAACCATGTTGACCAGGATGGTCATGATCTCTTGACCTCGTGATCCACCCGCTTCGGCCTCCCAAAGTGCTGGGATTACAGGCTTGAGCCACCGCGCCCGGCCTCGTTTATGTTTTTTAAGAAACAGGTTCAACCTCCAACTGGGCTCAAGCAGTTATCCTACCTCAGCGTCCCAAGTGGCTGAGACTACAGGTATGTGCCACCATGCCTAATTTTTTTTCTTTTCTTTCTTTCTTTCTTTCTTTTTTTTTTTTTTTTTTTATAAAGAGGTTTCATCATGTTGGTTAGGCTGGTCTTGAACTCCCAACCTCAGGTGATCCACCCACCTTGGCCTCCCAAAGTGTTAGGATTACAGGTGTGAGCCAATGAGCCTGGCCTCATTTTGTATTTTTTGTAGACATGTGGGTCTTGCTATACTGACCAGCCTGGTCTAGAACTCCTGGGCTCAAGTGCTCCTCCCACCTTGGACTCCAAAAGTGCCAGGATTACAGGCATTAGCTACTGCACCTAGCCTTTTTTGTTTGTTTTTGTTTTTGAGACAGGTTCTCACTGTCCCCCAGGCTGGAGTGCAGTGGTGATCCTGGCTCACTGCAACCTATAACTCCTGAGCTCAAACAATCCTCCGGCCTCAGCCTCTTGAGTAGCTATAACTACAGGTACAAGCCACCACACCTGGCTAATTTATTTTTATTTGTGGTAGAGACAGGGTCTCGTGGAGGCTCCCGCCTATAATCCAAACACTTTGGAGGCCAAGGCGGGCGGATCACCTGAGGCTGGGAGTTCAAGACCAGCCTGACCAACATGGTGAAACCCTGTCTTTAAAAATAAAAATAAATTAAAAAAAAGAGACAGGGTTTCACTATGTTGCCTAGGCTGGTGTGGAACTCCTAGGCTTAAAGTGATTATCCTGCCTCGGCCTCCAAAAGTGCTAGTATTACAGGCGGGAGCCACTGCACGCTGCCCAAGGGGTGAGTTTTCAAGAGCTGAGAAGGCGGAGCCAGGCCCTTTCCCTAGCTGACTTATATACTCATCATCCCACAGTCCTGCCCAACCCCTCTCAAGCTGGATACATCACCCCACAGCCCTGCCAGCACAGACCCAATGAGCTGCAGGTGCCCAGGTCACTGCTACGGAGGGTTTCAGACATCCGTCACCCGGGGTCCCTAACACCCCACCAGCTAAGCATGCTCCCAGTCCAAGCTGAGCATCCCCAGCAAAAGCTAAGGAGTCACAGCCTTCAACTCAGCTCGGAAATAACTTTCTGAATGGGTTTTAGAAAATGACACATGAGAATGCCTTAAGAAAGAGCAATTTAGGCCGAGCGTGGTGGCTCACGCCTATAATCCCAGCACTTTGGGAGGCCCAGGCGGGTGGATCACGAGGTCAAGAGATCAAGACCATCCTGGTCAACATGGTAAAACCCCGTCTCTACTAAAAATACAAAATTTGGCCGGGCGCGGTGGCTCACGCCTATAATCCCAGCACTTTGGGAGGCTGAGGCAGGTGAATCACAGGGTTAAGAGATCGAGACCATCCTGGTCACCAAGGTGAAACCCCGTCTCTACTAAAAATACAAAAATTAGCTGGGCATGGTGGTGCGTGCCTGTAGTCCCTGCTGGTCGGGAGGCTAAGGCAGAATTGCTTGAACCCAGGAGGCAGAGATTGCGGTGAGCCGAGATCGTGCCATTGCACTCCAGCCTGGGTAACAACAGCGAAACTCCATCTCAAAACAAAAACAAAACAATACAAAATTTAGCTGGGCATGGTGGTGCGCGCCTGTAGTCCCAGCTACTCAGGAGGTTGAGGCAGGAGAACTGCTTGTACCCAGGAGGCAGAGGTTGTGGTGAGCCGAAATCGCGCCATTGCACTCCAGCCTGGGTAACGAGCGAAACTCTGTCTCAAAAAAAAAGAAAGAGCAACTTAACTTCTCTTGTGGGGAGCAATTTGGGTGACTATTGAACTAAGAAAGTGGCTCTCAACACTGGGCAGATCACCACGCCTCTTGGTACTCAGCTCCCAAGCAGTGGTGCTGTTTGAGTTCCTGAACCCGCTGGGGATGGTGTGTGATGGGAGGGGCTCAGGAGGGTGCTGGAGTTACGCTTTTCTGTTTAGAAGACTTTAGGCTTCTTGTGGCCTCTTGGAGTTCAGCAGGGCCTTAGAAAACATCTCCCAACCACAGAGACATGCTGACTGGCTTTCCTGATGATGACGATTTGGCCTCATCTTGGACATGTGCAGTAATGGAGTGCTCACTACCTCTCAGGAGGTTCACTCCGCCAGTGGCCAGTGCCGGGAAGCCTCCCTCCCCCTGCAGGGGGGCCTCCCCTGTGCTGGTCAGCTCTGTGGTGTGTGTCACAGTACACAGAGAAGATCATCCTGCAGGGCCTCCCAGAGTCTACACCTGGAGGAAGAGAAGCTGCCTGTGCGGGTAGGTGGGTGGAAGCCCCGCATGCAGCAGGAAGACCACATCGAAAGTCCATGGGCACAGCCAGTAAACAGACCGCCAAGAGCAAGAACACCTTAAGACGCAGGTGGAGGGATAAAGCCAAGCAGGGGCCCGTGGGGTCTGGATTTGATTCTAGGTGAACAAGGAGGCGCCGCAGGATTTTAAGGAGAGCCACAAAGGATGAACTCTGGGGTGCAGCTGGGGTGGGAATGATAACAGTGATGGCAGCAAAGAAACGGATCCGAGACCTTTGTTGCAGAAGGAGCCGTCGGCCTTGCCCAGGCCCAGGGATGGGATGCGGGTCGGAGGGTGAGCCCGGGACTCTGGCGGGAGCCATTGAGGGTGTGAAGGTGCCATTGCTCCAGCGGAGAATGGAGGGGGGAGATGTGAGATATTTACAGGGAATAATCGAAGGGGTACCACGTAGGTTAGGCAAAGTGCAGGGTCCCTATCTCCTCCATCCCAACGTGAAGACAAGAGCCCACTCCGAGCGACTCGCCTTCCCTCCTTGGCCTGGGGAACGCTTCTGAAGCCCGGGGAAAAGGCCCCTCCAGGAGGCGGTGGCCGAAGGTCGAGGAGAGTGCGGGGCGGCCGCGGGTCCCGAGCGAGGCGAGACCAGCCCCGGGCGGCCCAGCCTTGCCCGCCCGCTCCCGCGCCCGCTCACCTCCAGCGCCTGGCCCAGCTCCAGGTCGAAGGTGACCACGCACACGCACTCCAGCCAGGCGGAGAAGCGCGCCCAGGGTGCCGCGGGGGTCCGCGCCGCGCGGCACGAAGACGCAGGTCCAGCGGCGCCCAGGCTGCTGCCAGCCCGCCGCGGCCCGGGGCCCAACAGCGCGTCCATGGCGGCGGCCGCGGGTTGCCCTGGGAACGCGGGCGGGGGCGGGGCGCGTCGAGACCGCGCCTCGGAGCAGTCGAGCGGCCGCCGCGGCCCAGAGCGGCCCTGCCGCGGCCTCGCGCCCCCTAAGGCCGGAGACGCGCCAGCGACCGAGCGCCGCCCAGAGCACTAGCGAGCAGGGCGCGCGAGGGCCAGAGCGGCCGGAGCCCGCTGGAGGACTTCCGCGGAAGCTGCAGCTCCGGCGCCTTCCGCTCCCCGCCCAGTCTGAGTCCCGAGAGAGTTGGGGCGACCCGCCCCGAGGATCGGGGCTCTGCAGAGCATCGCGGCCAGACAGGGGAGGCAGAGCAAGGCCGGAGCCAGTAGGTGCCGGGCTCGTCGGGCTTCGCAGGTCCGGCCTGCCCGCCTCGCCCCACCGCGCAACGGCGTCGCGGGCGTTTTCATGGCGGCTTCACTGAGCGCCCAGGCACCGCAGCGGACCCCCGCTCGCTTCCCTGGGGCCGGCGCGGCCTGGGATCGCGTCTGACCCCGGGTGTCCACGCGATGCCTCTGCAGTTTAACTTTCCGGGGGAATCGCGGGGACCTGCAGCGAGCCCTTCCCTCCGTCACGAGGCCCCTGGACCCCTCTGTGGTCCGCAGAGCCGCCTGCCTCTGCACCTCCCGACCCGGCGTGGAAGGGCCAGTCGGGGGCTGTCGGTAACTTAATGAAGCACGCCTTTGAGTCGTGGGCCTCGTGACGCTTCCTTGGAACGCGGGCCGCCTATACTGTGCTGGGCCCTTCAGAGTACTACCTTTTGGCCGGGCGCGGTGGGTCATGCCTGTCATCCCACCACTTTGGGAGGCCGAGGAGATGGGGTGGCAGATCACGAAGTCAAGAGTTCGAGACCAGCCTGACCAACATGGTGAAACTCCGTGTCTACTAAAAATACAAATATTAGCCGGGCGTGGTGGCACGCGCCTGTACTCCCAACTACTCGGGAGGCCGAGGCAGAAGAATCACTTGAACCCAGGAGGGGAAGGTTGCAGTGAGCCCAGATGGCGCCATTGCACTCCAGGCTGGGTGACAGGGAGACTTCCATCTCTAAATAAATAAATAAATAAAGATTACCACGTGTTGTTCGGATCATGTGGCCTGGGTGTGGGGTAGGCTGTCCCATCTAGGTTTGTCGCACAACAAAATCCCCCAGTGACACATTTCTCAGGACGTAACTTCACCATTAAGCAGCACATGGCCGTATTGTTTTTTGTTTGTTTTGGGTGTTTGTTTGAGAGAGTTTTGCTCTTGTCCAGGCTGGAGTGCAATGGGACAGTGTCGACTCACTGCAACCTCTGTCTCCTGGGTTCAAGTGATTCTCCTGCCTCAGCCTTCCAAGTAGCTGGGATTACAGGCACACGCCACCATCCCCCATTATGTTTTTAAATTTTTTTTTTTTTTAAAGATGGGGTCTCACGTTACCCAGGCTCGTTTTCGTTTCTCTTGGGCATACATAGAAACCAAATTGCTGAGGCATAGCCTGGGTATATGTTTAGCTTTCCCCAAAGCAGCCGTACATTTAGAAACATTCCTACCAACAGTGTGTGAGTGCTTTGTTTGCTCCACATCCTTACCAACAACCGGTATTGCCAAGCGTCTTTATTTTAGCCAGTCCAGTGAGTGAGTAATAGTATCTCGTGATTTTTAAAATTTTATTTATTTTGTAGAGAAGAGATCTCATCCTGTCACCCAGGCTAGAGTGCAGTGATGTGATCATAGCTCACTGCAGCCTGGAACTCCCATGCTCGAGGGATCCTCCCACCTCAGTCTCTCAAGTAGCTGCAACTGCAGGCGTGTGCCACTGCACCTGGCTATTCCTGTGGGTTTTTTGGTTTTTTTTTGAGACAGAGTTTCGCTCTTGTTACCCAGGCTGGAGTGCAATGGCGCGATCTCGGCTCACTGCAACCTCTGCCTCCTGGGTTCAGGCAATTCTCCTGCCTCAGCCTCCTGAGTAGCTGGGATTACAGGCACGTGCCACCATGCCCAGCTAATTTTTTGTATTTTTAGTAGAGGTGGGGTTTCACCATGTTGACCAGGATAGTCTCGATCTGTTGACCTTGTGATCCACCCGCCTCGGCCTCCCAAAGTGCTGGGATTACAGGCTTGAGCCACCGCACCTGGCCTACTGTGGTTTTAATGTGCATTTCCGTGATTACTAATGGTCTTGAGCATTTTCTTTTCCCGTGGTTACTGCATGCCATCATTATCGGATGTATTCTGATTTTGAGGTAGGAGGCAGAACTTTACTCCAGACCAGATTAAAGACTGCCTGAGCCGGGCGCGGTGGCTCACATCAATAATCCCAGCACTTTGGGAGGCTGAGGCGGGTGGATCACGAGGTCAAGAGATTGAGACCATCCTGGTCAACAAGGTGAAACCCCGTCTCTACTAAAAAATACAAAAATTAGCTGGGCATGGTGGTGCACACCTGTAGTCCCAGCTACTCGGGAGGCTGAGGCAGGAGAATTTCTTGAACCCAGAAGGCGGAGGTTGCAGTGAGCCGAGATCGTGCCATTGCACTCCAGCCTGGGTAACAGCAGCGAAACTCAGTCTCAAAAAAAAAAGACTGCCTGAAACAGGGAAGAGGCAAAAGTGCCTCTCCATGAGACACGCCCACCAGTGCCATTTCCACCTACCATTGCCATGGCAGTGCCCACAAGTTACTGCCCCTTCCCATGATAACCACCCCAAAGTTACTGCCCTTTTCCTAAAACTTTCTGAATAAATTGCACCTTAATTTCTTTATAATTAAAAGTAGTTATAGGCCGAGTGTGGTGGCTAACACCTTGTAATCCCAGCACTTTGGGAGGCCGAGGGGTGGAGGGCATCATTTCAGGTCAGAAGTTAGAGACCAGCCTGGCCAACATGGTGAAACCCCGTCTCTACTAAAAATACAAAACTTAGCCGGGCATGGTGGCAGGCGCCTGTAATCCCAGCTACTCGGGAGGCTGAGGCAGGAAAATCGCTAGAACCCAGGAGGAGGAGGTTGCAGTGAGCCGAGATTGCACCATTACACTCCAGCCTGGTCCGTCTCAAAAAAAAAAAAAAAAAAAAAGAAAGAGAAAGAGGTAGGAGGCTTAGAGTCAGAGTCAGAGAAGTCAGTGTGATGCTGGGATCTGAGAGAGAACCTGGAAGATGCTCAGCTGCTGGCTTTGAAGATGGAAGAAGACCCTATGAACCGAGGGATATAGGACAAGCTGGAAAAGGCGAGGACACAGGTTTTCCCCTGAGCTTCTTGAGAGAAGACAACACCTGGATTTTAGTCCCACAAGACTCATTTCAGGTTTTTTTTTTTTTTTTTTTTTGAGACAGTCCCGTTCTGTTTCCAGGCTGGAGTGCAGTGGCGCAATCTCGGCTCACTGCAACCTCCACCTCCCTAGTTCAAGCAATTCTCCTGCCTCAGCCTCCCAAGTAGCTGGGACTACAGGCACGCGCCACCATGCCCAGCTAATTTTTTGTATTTTTAGTAGAGATGGGGTTTCACCGTGTTGGCCAGGATGTCTCGATCTCTTGACCTCGTGATCCACCCACCTCGGCCTCCCAAAGTGCTGGGATCACAGCCCTGAACCACTGCACCTGACCCTAAATTCTTTCTTTTTAAATATGGACAATCAGTTATTCCAATGCCATTTATGGAAAAATATATTGTTTCCCCATAAAATTGACTTAGGAGCGAGGTGTGGTAGCTCATGCCGTAGTTCCAGCTACTGGGGAGGCTGAAGCAGGAGGACTGCCTGAGCCCCGGAGCTGGAGACTGTAGTGAGTTGTAGTCACACCATTGCACTCCAGCGGAAGCAGCAGAGTGAGAGCTCATCTCTAAATAAACAGACTTAGCACTTCCATAACAAAAATCAATTGATGATAATATTGAGGGTTTTGTATTCTCTATTCTGTTCCCTTGATCTACATGTTTTTCTTTCTCTTTCTTTTTTTTTTTTTTGAGATGGAGTCTCACTCTGTCACCCAGGCTGGAGTACAATGGCTCACCGCAACTTCCGCCTCCCAGGTTCGAGCGATTCTCCTGCCTCAGCCTCCTTAGTGGCTGGGATTACAGGTGTGCGCCACCACGCCCAGCTAATTTTTGTATTTTTAGTAGAGATGGTGTTTCGCTTCCCATATTAGCCAGGCTGGTCTTGAACTACTGACCTTAGGTGATCTGCCTGCCTCAGCCTCCCAAAGTGCTGGGATTACAGGTGTGAGCCACTGCGCCCAGACCTGTGTTCATTATTCTAGTTTCATAATAAGTTTTGAGATCACGTAGTGTAAATCCTTCAGCTTTGTTCTTTTTCAAAATCGTTTTGACTATCTTGATTATTTGCATAGCTATACAGATGTTAGTGTTTGCTTGGCTTGTCAGTTTCTACCACCAATAAAAAACACCAGCTTTAAGTTGCATTATTAAAGACAACAACAATAAAAAAAAACCAGCAGCTGAGGACAGGTGTGATGGCTCATGCCTCTAATCCCAGCATTTTGGGAGGCCAAGGCGGGTGGATCACCTGAGGTCGGGAATTTGAGACCAGCCTGACCAACATGGAGAAACCCCTTCTCTACTAAAAATACACAAAAATTAGCTGGGCATGGTGGCACCCACCTGTAATCCCAGCTACTCGGGAGGCCGAGGCAGGAGAATGGCCTGAACCCAGGAGACGGGATCATGCCACTGCACTCCAGCCTGGGCGACAGAGCAAGACTCTGTCTCAAAGAAAAAAATCTGCTGAGATTTTGCCATGAATTACATTGGATCCACAGATTACCGAAACCTCTGCCTCCCGGGTTCAAGCGATTCTCCCGTCTCAGCCTCCTGAGTAGCTGGGACTACAGGTGCTTGCCACCATGCCTGCCTAATTTTCTGTATTTTAGTAGAGATGGGGTTTCACCATGTTGGCCAGGCTGGTCCCGATCTCCTGACCTCGTGATCTGCCCACGTAGGCCTCCCAAAGTGCTGGGATTACAGGCATGGGCCACCACACCCGGCTAATTTCTACATTATTGGTAGAGATGGGGATTCATCATGTTAGCCAGGCTGGTCTCAAACTCTTGACCTTGTGATCCACCTGCCTTGGCCTCCCAAAGT